TTCCTTCCTTCCTTCCTTCCTTCCTTCCTTCCTTCCTTCCTTCCTTCATCGATTTATATAGCTACCCATCTCACACACAAAAAAAATTAACAATGAAACTATAAAACAGTAATATATTAAAAATAATTACTGAGAAAATTCTAAAAACCACGATTAAAGGTTAAGAGAAGGCAGCAGATAACAATAACAGTAGAGCCACCTAGGAATGTGTTTACAACACTTAATGGAAACCTGCCCCTCTATATCTTAAATCAGTTACTATTTAATTAAATCCACTAATAAGAGAGAGAACAGTCTTGATCTTCGTTCCACATGGCATCCTTTCAGGTATACGAATAGGGTTATTATATCCCCCTCCCCACTTTTCTTAAGGAAATCACACCCACCTTCTTCAATCTGTCTTCAAAAATCTTAGATTCTCATCCTATGATCACCTTTACTAAACTTCTCTGAACCTGTTTAAACTTCTCTGAAACTTTCAAGTGTGCTGCTCACTTACAGCACTGAGCCAGAAAAAAAAAGAGTGGACTGATTATATATCCCATGATTTGGAAATTATATGTTAGCTTGATGTAGTCTAAAATTGCATTTCTCTTCTTTGCAGCACATCACGTTGATGGCTCATACTTTGTTTTATCTCTCATAAGCTTTCCATAATCATTATGTATTAATTACTATAAAGAGTTGAACTATAACGTATGTTTTTGACTCAATTCTAGAAAGCAGTAAATCATTTATTTATCACCAATACAACTGCATTTAAAATGTTACAGAAAGTATTACTAGATGAAAGATAGAAAATTTTCATTAGAAAGATAACAGCTTCAAAAAATGTATTGAAAAGATGTCAAGAATGCATTTCCATTTGGAAATTTCTATCACCACATTATCTTGTAGACATGATCTCCAACCTTAAGTGTTCCTGTTTTATCAACTCCAAAGTACCATCCAAACAAAGGGCTTGATTTGTATATATGCTTTTCAGAAGGCTCACACAAGCGGTAACTATTAGAAAAAATAATACAGTCATGAATTACTCACAAAATAGTTAATCAGATAACATTTTATTATAACAAACTAACAAACATAAGTTTCCTACATGCCTGAAATTCCAAATTGTTATAAAATTTCACAATCACATAGTAACAACTATTTTGAAAGCTTAAAATTAAAGCTGAAACATAAACATAATTGTTTGGACTATTGTTAAACTGAATTCATTGGGACCTCAGTATAAAATACATCCTTAAAACTTGCACTATACTTGAAGTCATATTTTCATTTTTTTAAATTGAATAATATTTATTTCAATTATTAAGATTAAGAATATTAAAGAGGGAAACTAAGTAAGACAACTGAAACACTGAAGATGAACTACCTATCCTGGGACACGTATATTCGCCTTCATTCATGAAATGCCTAATTTTATTAATGGACTCTGAGGTAGTAAAAATTCGCAAAACAAGGAAATTTTGCTATTGCATTTGTTCCAGTTTATCCAACCTGCTTCCTCCAGGCATACTGGGAATATAACTGCCAGCCAGGAAGCTGCAATCTCCTCTCATTTGGAGGGTACCAGTTTGTGGAAGGCTGTTCTCAATAACATTTTAGCCCTCCCAAACGTGCAGACATTTGAAAAAAACCACGATCATGCACATTTTGTGTGCGTGCGTGTGTGTGTGTGTGCGCGCACGCACACCTTCAAATCAGTCTTAGTTCCTGGCAACTGCCTGGAGAAATTCCCACAGGATTTTTTTTTTTTTGGGGGGGGGGGGGGGGGCGGGCAACATTTTTTGGAATTGGTTTGCCATTGCCTCCATTCTAGGGCTGAAAGTGTATAACTGGACCAAGATTACCTAACTGCTTTGGGGCTAAGATGGGACTAGAATTCACAGACTCCCAGCTTCTAGCCTAATACCTAAACTACACCAAACTGCCTTTCATTAATTGTACTGAAGATGCCAAAATATTTTATTACCTTTTCAAAGTATTAAGAGGTTCTTTTCTGTCTATGATGCCGGTATCTGGATCAACTGTTGTAACAATACACCTACAATGAAAAAAGAGGAATGAGGTAACAACAGCCTTACATTATTTCCAGCCATGAAATACAATAACAAAAAAGGCATACCTGGGACAGGCCACTGCCCCTCTCATTTGTGCACTTCCAATAACAATATCATTCCAGGTGTCCTACAAAAATATAATGGATTGAGTATTTTATTTCTTATATAATCCAAGGCAATTCAACTTGCTCATATGAATTTTGCATCATGAGCTTTCTGACATGAATGTAAATGTTATAAAAGAGACCAATAAATAATACTTCTAAGTGATGTATTTCACAGATGAAAGGCAGATTATGTTCCCTCTTTTGAGTTTTAACTATTCAATGTTATAGAATTTTATATATAGTCTGAAAATAAAGTGATACATCTGATAGTAACTTAATATTTGTACTATACATTATAACTACTTACACTTCTATCTGCAAAACATTAGTCAAGCTTTGCTACTTACACAACCTGAAATTCTGTTTCGTAAATGGTGTTTGCTTACCTATTTGAGGCAATTTTATTTGGAACATACCTGCAGAAAGTATGGGGACAGTTCCTACCTTTTTCAATCCTCTGCACCAGGTCCCCAATTCTCAGGAAGTCTCCTAACCCAGGGTTCCCCAGACCCCTGGGCTGTGGCCCACTACTGGGCGGTGGCCTGTTTGAAACTGCGCTGTGCAAGCGATGGGTGAGTACACGTGCGCAGCTCCACTTGCACGAGTGGCAGGCGCTTGGGCTTACGTGTAAAGCTCCATTTGTGCTCACACTGAGTGCCTGCCATTCACACAGAACCATCCTCTCTCCCCCTCCCCTGCCAGGCTGCCAAGCCAGAAAGCTTGGGGACTGCTGTCTTAACTTTCCAGAGGTGATTTTTGATGAAGGACCTTGGGAAAATAGAGGAACCAAGAAAAAATCATGCCGGATGAGAAGACTTCTACAAGTCTGCCAGCAAAGAAGCAGACTTTGAAATTATATATTTGTCTATACATAAGTGAAAGAAAACACAGTATGATGAATGTGCCTGGTTGATGTAGGAATCTCACCATTAATGCTGTGGTAATTTCTCCAAATATTCCTTTTTGCTACATATTAAAATGACAATATTATTTTTTGAATGAATATTATTTACAAAAACTAACCTTTAACCTAATCTAAGGCTTTAGAATCCTGGAATTCTAGCTTTCCTCACAAGTTCTTTGGTTTTCTCCAAAAAAAGGGATGCTTCGTGTATTTTTTAGGCGTTTATTATTCAGTGTAAGTAAATTAGGCATCTTACTGCATAGCTACATTGTGCATTTTATGCTTTAATACTAATATATAGGTTTGATTTCACCTTGAACCTAGAAATCCATTGTGATCAAATAAAGAGCAGATTGATTATTTCCACTTGCCAGGGGAAATAATTGACATAAGAAATTTTTGTTGAAGAAAATGATTTTAAAAATATTCTATTCAGCAAGGTTAGCTTTATTATTTTTACCCACAGTAGATAACCTCATCCCTTCAATAAATTTAGGAATATATTAAAGAAATAAAAGCTTCCTTTCACTGCAAAGACAACTGGCAATAATATAAACTTTTCCCTAATTTAGTGCCTGCTGTCAGGTTTCCAAGTAATGAAATCCATGTTAAAAGAAAAATAACAAAGTGCATCTTCAAAAAGATTTCTTTTATTTAGGAAAACATCAAATTGGCAAAGTCCATGGTAATTCCGGATCTGACCCAACCCAGAATTACCCCATAATACTAGAATTTAGAAACAACCCCCCAAAGTCACATTCTCCAATAGAAGTAATTCAACGTTGCTTGATGTCATAAATCTCCACGGGGGGGGGGGGGGGCGCTACAGCTCATTTCCCACAGGAAAGAAGATCACCTAACCAAAACATCTCTCTTTATCTCCACTCCTCCCACCTTAGGAATGTGTCAAGCCCACAACTCCCCCCCCCCCATGACTACCACAGGGAAAATAAGAAAAAGAATATGACACCTGCATTTTCTAGACCTCCAGCCAACTTCCTGGCTGACTCATGTGAGAAGTACAAGTTTAAAAATGCTTTATTAAACAGTTACATGCAAAATTATTCTATATGTAAACTAAAAAGTTATGCCCTATCTTACCTCCTCATTAGGACCACAACCAGTGACCAAAATGCTTGGCCTGAAGTTACGTATTTGAACTTTCTTCTCCAGTCTGGAATTAAGCTCTTCCAAAGAAGCTTCAGAGAGGAGCATGATAGGACTACAGTCAGAATAGGCAATCTAGAGAAGTACATTCCATAAATGAACAATGTCAAAAGGTTTACACAATATACAAAGAGATAGTCTGTAGCACAAAAAGAAGCCGCCCCAAAATAACTGTCTGTAGGGGGAGGGGGCGTCCTTGTTTAACAACTACTTGTTCAACAATCATTCAAGGTTATGATAGCTTTGAACAAATGATAGTTAAGATAAGTCCTTGGAGTTCCTGCTACTGCAGGAACTATGATCCAGGCATGTGGCTCAACATTATGTTGCAGTGAGCTATGGTCACATGATTCTAATTTCCAACGTTCCCTGACAGCTTCCCATAAGCTAAATCAAATGGGGAAGGCAGCAGAAAGTCAGATGTTGCTGTCATGTGAGGTCCTTGCTTAACGACAATCAGAACTCCCATCATTTAGAAGCATAGTCATATCACATTGTGGTTCAGCAATGGTAATTCCAATCCCAATTGCCATTGCTAACCAAGGACTATTTGCAATATCTGGTAGCCTCATTAAATGATGTGTTAAAATATCTGATCACAGCCATTTGCTGAAGAAAAAGTAGACTGGTCACATGATAATCAAATATATTCAGGTTTTACAACAAAGAACCCACCCAGCCACTACTTGGAAACTGATTACGAAGGCTGCTCTCCTTGCAAAGGGATCTCCCAGACAGTGGTACTTTAAAAAAACATTTATTCCACTATATTTGTCTTTTAGTATCAATCACCATTCCTATGCAGAAGAAAAAAAAATGACATCTTTAAGTGAAACTCAATTGCCTTTTTCTTGGCAGCATTATGCAAATAGTCTAGTATCACCTTCTTACAGGATGTTTTTGACTTTGCAGTCCTCTCTATTGCCCTGGTTCTGCCTGCTGATCTTTCACCAAGTACTAACTACTGTAGGTCCAATTCTGTATAGAGTTTGGAGATTAGCTGTGTTTGCATGTCCATAAATAAATGAATATGACTAATACACTGTTAAATACTCTCAAAATGTTTTTGAGTACATGATAAAAGAGAATATCGGTTGAAAAACAGATCCACTTATACTGCAAGACGTACCACTGACCATTGAAAGCACAAAGCTCACCTTATCAGTGGGACGAAAAGGTTCCATTAAATCTTTTGAATTCCTTGGAACCATATTTGGTTCAAAGCAAACCAAGCGGTATGGTTCTGACTTTAGGTAGGCTGTAATCCATTGAGCGGCATCTTCACCACAATCTCTGCCTTGAACATCAAAGCCAAATAGCCTAAAAGAATTGTGAACAGCATTAATAAGATCTCTTCTAGAACTACCATTACATTTAATGGAATCACAGGGTTGAAAGTGACCATAAATGTAAATTAGTCCAACTGCCTGCTCAGTGCAGGATTCACTAGAGATTCTCTGAAAATGACCACCCAGTTTCTATTAGAAGACCTCTAACAAAAGAATAGCCACTCTTCTTTCCATTGGCTGGCAGTTCATATAGTCAGAAAGTTCCTCCTAATGTCTAATCGAAGCCTCCTTTCCTTATAGTTTTAACCCACTGGTTCTCATTCTGGTTGTTTTAATTTATTGATTCTGGAACAGCAGATATAAGTCTACTCTCTCTCTTCTAACTTTCAAATATTTGTCAAACTTTCAGGTATTTGAAGACTAATCCTCAAAGAACTTACTTCTCAGATTCTTCACCATTTTGTTGGCCTTTCTCTGAACTTACTTTAATTTATCTCTTGTCTCTTTTGAACTGTGCTGACAGAATTGAACAATTTTCATTTAACATTCATAGGCATGATTGTCTCAGAACAGTCCCGCCACCCTTATATGACTGCATTTTGAGTGATTGGGAATCTATTTATTCCACTTGTTAATTCATTTATTACTGTGATCAAGGAATTGCCCTTTACATTTCCTCTGCTAGTTTCCCCAGAAAGGCAGTACAGTAATTCTCCCTCACACTCAAGGAACAGATCTGAAACCTGATGAAAACTCAAGTGAAGACCAATGTTTTCTCCTCTCCTCCAGAAGGCTCAGAAAATCCTTGGAAGGAAGGGGAAATGTTAATTCAAATACTGGCATCCATCAGCATTTTTCCCTCTCGTCCAGAAGACTCAGAAAAGTTCCAGAGGGGGTGGAAAAACGCTAGCAAAGTTTATGTATTTTCCTTCTTCCCCCCAAAATAAATTTAAGTTCCATAAATAAAATTCTATTTTCTTTAAATAACTTTCCCTCTTCTCTCAAAGTTCTTACCATCTTTCAAGTCCATTAGTAATTTCATGAAATAACTCCAGTAAATCTCTTATATTCCAGTTTAAAAGGGTAGCATTTATAAAACCAGTATTTCTATTTCTTTAAACTGTAATTGTTAAATCCACCTTAGAAATCATTTCAGTTTATCTCCAGAAGGATTTTGTCCATCTTGCTGTAACTTTTGGCTCCAGTAAAGAGTGAAAAAGTCCAAGCACTTCACAGGCCATGAACGAAATATTTTCTTTAAACTAGCCATCTTGTGTTCTACTATCAATTGTTGTGCAAGTCATATGTAAACAAGACAGATTTTCCCACGCAGGAGCTCTTACTAATTAACTTCAAAGTCTAACTTGATTTCACAGAGTATTTATAAAACTTTTAGTATTTATAAAAGTTTTATAGAAACAATTCCTGAAATCACCTCATTGCTGTATTTAAAACAAATTATGAAAAATAAAGATCTTACAAAGATGAAAAAATGTGATGCTGTTTCTTTTTAAATGGATTGAAGAGAATTCCACACAGCAACTAGTAGCTTGTGATTTCCAAGGTTTTTAAATCTTAAAAGAGCAACGAAAAAGGTAAAATTTCAAAGTGATGAAAAGGATGAGGTTTGTAGACTCTTGAGTCCTAAAAGGCTGCATTTATGGCTCAAAGCATGATGAAGTCAACAATTCCAGCAACTGCAGACTGTTGCAAAAATGATGGTTTCTATTGTCTACTCACAAAAAACAACTGTCTGAAGTACATTTGGGCAATCTCCAAATCTGTTTCTTCCAGATAAAGTTTTGGCAGTCCAGACCTCATTTGCAGCTACTTATTTGAGCCATAATTCCCTCACAAACATTGGTTCTCATGCCTCACCAGAAACATACTCTGAACAATCTTTAAGGAAGTAAATTATGTTTCTTACTAGTATGATTGATGCATGTATATATGAATGAGGAGAAGGGCATGGAGAAGGGGGCAGAAACTACATCCTTATAAGATTCAAATATAAGTTGAATATGATAAACTGTTGGTGGAGTGAGAAAGAAAAATACTGTCAGAAAATCTACAGCAGTTCTGCTGATAGAGGGAAGTTCATCCATCTTGGTTCTGAAATGTAAAAAACTAAATGCAGGAGCAATAATGTGACCTGCCCCCCAGTGATAAATTACATTCACTCAGGCACTATAGCAATAGAAATATTATGTGGAGAAAGTTATGAATGGACAAAAAACTTTTGATTAACAAGTTTGATTAAAAGATTTGATTCCCTGTGTTAGTCTATGTTGCTTTTCTATCAGCTATGAATATCTCTGAGAAGTACATTATATATATATAGTACATTTTATATATATATGTGGATCTTTGGTTGTTCGGGTTTTCTCCCGCGTAAGATTCGAAGTATCTAGGCAACGTTTCGAGAAGTCTCATTCATCATCTTCAGG